TTGAATTAGTATATTGCTTTTGGTAATATGGTCATTTTCACACCATTGATTCTATCATCCATGGTTAACAGCAGGGGGCATGGGTGGGACCCATGGGAGACAGACTGGCCTCTTCTCCTTTGTGGTTGACTGCAGCTTGTTTGAGGTGTGGATAAGGCACTTAGGATCTCTGCTCCTTTGTTAGTCAAAGAGTAGCAGGGGTAGTACTAATGCACAGGCAGTGGCAGAGGGGATTTTGGTTGACCCTGGGGATTCCATCTCCAGGTGGAGCTGCTATTACTGGGAATGTTCAGCCTGTGGGGTAAGTCAGCTGTACTGCTGGTGTGAGGTTAGGGCTCTGCTTGTAGGGGATCAGCAGGTTTAGGGCTCACTGGGAGGAGAGACTGGTCTCCTCTCCATATAAAGACTATGGCATGCTGTAAGTTCAGGTGTACCCTTGAGGCTCTTTGTTTCTTTTCAAGATGAAGGACAGGAGGAATAGAAGTGCTGCTGTGACAGGGGCAGAAAGGCTGCTGGTTGCCTCTGGGAGCCTCTCCCTGGGGAAAGTCTGGGCCACTGCCAGTAGATGAGCTCAGCTGTGGATGGGACAACTGATCTGCAGCCATGAGCTGGGGGCCAAGCCTGGTGGTATGGGGGTTCCCAGGGGAGGGAGCTGGACTCCTCTCTGTATGGTGGCTGTGGCATGCCGAAGGTGCCACCATAGTGACACAGCTCTTTGTTCCTTCCCCAGCCCAGTGGTTGTTACGGTGGTACCACTACAATTGCAGTGGTGGAGGAGTTGTGAGTTGATGCTGCTATTTCCTCCTTGTAGAAATGCTGGGCTACTTCTGATCGAAATGGTCAGGTGGGGGCAGGGTGGTTGTACAGGTGTCCCAGGCCAGGCAGCCCTGCTTAGTGAGGAGAAGTGAGGACTGATAACTGCATGGAGAACAATGCCACCACTTTACCATGAAGTAGGTGAAATGTGCTGGAGGTTCAGACCAACCCAGGTCCCTGTGGACTCTTCAGAGCTTAGAAACAGCAAGGCCAAGGACTGCGAGATTCATTTTGTAATTTGATGATCTCTTTAATGCTGAGAGCGGGGTGTTGAAGTCTTTCACTGTCAATATCTGAACTGCAGACCCTGACCCAGCGACAGATGAACAAATTCACTCAGACACAGAATAGAGTGAAAGAGCAGGCTAGGGGTGTCCATGGCCACTCACACACCCTCCTGAGAGAGAGAGCAGCCATGGCCCTGACCAGCTGGCACTCAGCATAGATTTTTATATAGGGTGTTTATTCAGCATAGATTTAATAACAAAGTTTCTGATTCAACACACTCATGGTTAAAGATTAAAGGCCAGGTGCCGAGGCCTAAAGCAAAGAACATTTGTGGGTGATAAACCTGGTTGCCATCGCTCTGAGAAAGCCATCTGGCCCATGAAAGATTAATGGTTAGTTTTAGGACCCTACATTTGCCCTTCTTTATCAACTAAAGGTAAAATGGATTAGGCTGCCTTCAACCAAAACTTCTGCTGAAACTGTGCAAACCTCTTGACCTTCGAAGGTTTGTGACCATATTCTATAATTTTACAATCTTTCCAACCATTTGACTAATATCCCACATTTACCCTTTTAGTTTTTTGCATCAGATGTTGCTGACTGAAGATTACAGATGTAAGCAACAGTAGTTTTGTCAGGTGAGGTGGTCATTGCTCTTATTCTGGCTTTGCATACTAGAATTGGGAAATAACATAAGACAATTATGAGTATGATTAGCAACATTCTTTTCTAGTCAAAGAGTGACCTATAGGGCTATGTGGCATCTCAGTTCACTGTATGCCATCAATGAGGAATCCCACTGGAGTTATGTTAATTCCTTTTAGCCAAGCAGTTGCATTGTTAGAAACTGGGAAGAAGGTGTTTGTCTACGTAACAGGACAGAAAAAAAGGCAAATTTAGAAGAGTAAATGGTGTCTGTGTCTGAAGCAGGATTCATTTAGCCTTCTGCATTGTGTTCTTCAGCATCTCCAAGGTGATGTCTGGGGCCTGTTTTGTCCGTGGAACCTCCATCATCTGGGATGCAGGTTTTGTAGAGTCTTTCCTAGGCCAGCTTGAGTTTTTTCTTCTTTCCATCCTTTGATGGGGACATAGTCTCCAAGCTGGTGCTGGTGTACTGGAAGTTCTAGGGGTGGTGTCTGTGCTAAGAGACCTTTTATAATCTTTGTTAAAGAGAAGGTTAGTTTGGTTATTTGTTTTGTTTTATTTTTTGAGATGAGGTCTTGCTCTGTTACCTTGGCTAGAGTGCTGAGGCATGATCTGAGCTCACTGAGACCTCTGCCTCCCAGGTTCAAGTGATCCCCCTGCCTCAGCCTCTCAAGTAGCTAGAAGTGCAAGTGTGCACCACCATGCCTGGCTAATTTTTGTATTTGTGGAGATCCAGCCTCGCAAAGTGCTGGATTACAGGCATGAGCTACTGAGCCTGGCCTATTTTCCATTCTTTACTATTAAAGACAATGCTTCATTGAATAGACTTGTTCATTAATTATTTTATATTTTTGTCAATATATCTTTACGATAGAAGTAGGACTGCTAGACCAAAAGTCAGTAACGTGTTAAATTTTTTTAGATAGTGACAAAAGGTTGTACCATTTTGTATTCTCACCAACAGTGCTTAGGAGTCCTTCTCTCTCTACAGCTTCACCAACAGGTTGTATTATCAAATACTGTGGTCAGATATTTGCTATTTTACAGGTGAGAACTGATATTTAAGCATAATTTTACTTTGCATGTATCTTAATCTGAGGGAGTTGAACATTTTTTCATATATTTAAAGATCGTTTAACAGATGTTGGTGAGGTTACAGGGAATGGGGAACACTTCTACACTGCTGGTGGGAATATAACTTAGTCCAGCCACTGCTGAGAGCAGTATGGAGATTTCTCAAAGAACTAAGAGTTGAACTACCACTCGACCCAGCAATTGCATTACTGCATATATACCCAAAGGAAAATAAGAGTTTTTTTGTTTTTGTTTTTGTTTTTGTTTTTACCAAAAAGACACGCACTCACAAGATCGTCACAGTGCTATTCACAATCGCAAATACATGGAATCTATCTGGGGGCCCATCAACTTTGGACGGGATAAAAAAAATATGTGGCACATAACCACAACAAAACAAATGCAGCTAATAAGAAGAAAATCATAACCTTTGCAGAAGCATGAATGCAGCTGGAGGCCATTGTGCTAAGTGAATTAACAGTGAAACAAAAAACCAAATACTGCCTGTTCTCACCTAAAAGGGGGAGCTAAATACCAAGTACACATGGACATAAAGATGAGAACAATAGACCCAATAGACTACCAGAGGGAGGATGGAGGAAGAGGAGAAAAAGCTGAAAAACTAACTTTTGGATATTATGCTTGCTACCTGGGAGGTGGAATCATTTGTACTCTAAACCTCAGTATCATGCAATATACCTTTGTCTCAAGCCTGCACATGTACTCTCTGAACCTATAATAAAATTTGAAGGAAAAAAAAAAAAACCCAAACATGGTTACTGTATGCCAGAAGCTAAGGTGTGGTATAACTGAATGGTTTATCAATTAGCAACAGATGTAAAAGTAACAATCTCTTTGTTTCTAAGACCAGGACTAATTCAGATAAACGTTTTGCAAATATTTTATATAATTTGTTCTAATTATATTTATATTTTCCCTTTCATTACTGTTAATTTAAATAGAGATTTAAAAAACTATCAGATGGGAAGTGTCAAATCACCATTAATTTCCTTCTCTCTCTCTCTCCCCTATATATATATATATATATATATATATAGGGGAGAGAGAGAGAGAGAGAGAGAGAGAGAGAGATATGTTAGATATATTACAGTAACATACTTTGTTATATATAAGATATATATATATTAGATGTTATATATATATTACAGTAACATACTTAACTGCATAGATTCAAAACTTTGCTGCCTGCCTGTTTCCCAGGGGAGGAGTACACATGACTTCTGGCCAAATTTCAAGAGAAATTTTGAATATATCGGTTCCTCCCGTGTATTGTATACATTAATGTACTTAATAGTTAAACGAATTATGAATAAGGAGTGAGTAAATTTTACAAATAAAAAATAAAAGTTTTTTCCTACAACTGCAAAAAATAGACTGTTCATAGCAACTCTGTTTACAATAGCAAAGACCTGGAACCAACCCAAATTCCCATCTACGATAGACTGGACAAGGAAATGTGGCACATATACACCATGGAATGCTATGCAGCCATAAAAAATGATGAGTTTGTGTCCTTTGTAAGGACATGGATGAATCTGGAAACCATGCATAATTTGTATTATCACCTATTTATAAATGTAGAAATGAAAGCTAAGTAATGTGTCCAAAATCATGATTAATAAGAGTCAGTAGAGTTGAGCCCAGCTTTTTTTGTTGTTACTTTAAAGCCTGTGTTTTTAAAAGTTAACCATGGAAAAATGACATAGATGGATACTAGTAAGACACTTTGTGCCGACATGACGAGAGACTGGATCCCTCTAAATTTGTTCTGCTGCTTATGAGCAGTTTTCATATACCACAGATGTCAAGTGCCTAAAAGGCACATTTTACATTGGCAAATTTACTCTTCCTATTACGCTTGATAATGCCCTCATGAATTGGGGTTGTTACAGAGGTGGGAGATGAAGTATAAACTCTTACAATGGGAGGCATTTTTTTTTCAAACCTCTTAAAAGTTGACATATATCTCCTTATCACTAAGCACATTTTTTAAAATTAAGCATGTGGCAGTTCTTTTTTTGTGTTTTTCACAAATGGGCCAAATAAAAATTTTAAAATGTTTCTAAGCTAGGCTATTTTCTCTCCTTTGTTCTACTAAGCTTAGGATCATACAGGAAGGAGCAGGTGTATACAAATAGTAATATATTTACGCCTTTCTTTGTTCTAAGAATTAATAAAAGAATATTTTGAAAGCATAATAACTTTATATCTGTATTCTAAAATATAACACTCAAGTTGTTGAAAGATAAATTGAGGCAATGTATGTGAAAGCTCCTAGGCTATCATTAAATTATTAATTTAAGTATTAATAGGGAATAGAAGGCACAGTTTTCATGAGCTTTACTAACTTACCAACTTCACTATATTTTATGTCATCTGAGATGAATCTCACAATTATATAAGATCTAAGACTTTACACTAGAATGTACTTCCCATTTTCTTAGCCGTCTTATTGCAGTCTTCATGTCTTTGTTCCTTAGTGTGTATATAATTGGGTTCAAGAGAGGGGTGATCACAGAATAAAATACAGCAAGGAATTTATCTAATGACTTGATGGGAAATGGCCAGGCATAAATAAAGACACATGGTCCAAAGAACAAAAGAACTACTGTGATGTGAGCAGTCAAAGTGGACAGAGCCTTGGATGACCTATCTGAAGGGTGGCGCTGGATGGTCATTAGGATGATAGTGTATGAGATGATTAGAGAACAAAAGAACACACAGTGAGCACACCGCTGTTAGCAATGACCATAATATCTAGCCTGTAGGTATCTGTACAGGCAAGTTTGATTACCCTAGGAAGGTCACAATAAAAGCTATCGACCTCATTGGGACCACAGAAGGGTAAGTGCACTGCAAAGGCCAACTGGCTCACTGAATGGAGAAAGCCAATTCCCCATGCAACAGCCACAATACTGACACATGTGTTGCCACATATAATTGTGGTATAGTGTAGAGGTTTGCATATTGCTACATATCTGTCAAAGGCCATGGCTATGAGGATCACCAACTCACTGCCACCAAAGAAGTGAAGGAGAAATATCTGAACAAGGCAGCCCTTGAAAGAGATGACTTTGCACTCCCTGAAAAAGTCAGTAATCATCTTGGGGGCTGTGACAGAAGACAAAGACAGATCAATGAGTGAAAGATTGGCTAGCAGGAAGTACATGGGAGAGTGAAGGTGAGAGTCAGATACCACTGTTATGACAATAAGAAGGTTTCCAAACACGATTCCTCCATAGAATACAAAAAACAACACAAATAGGAAAATCTGGAGTTCCTGAGAATCAGAGAGACCCAGAAAAATGAATTCAGTCACCATGGAGTTATTTGTTTCACTTGTTGATTCATTCCAGGAAATAGACTCTTCAGTTACCTTGAAGAAGATAATGAGAAGGAATTCAGAATTATATATTCATATTTAAATATATTCATATATATATTCAGAATTATATATTCATTTTGTATCATTCTGGTCATGCTTACACGGACTTTCTATAATTGATTATTTACAGGCTTTCAGAATTCAACCAAAGCTCATAATTTTATCTCACACTACTTCCCTGGCTATGCCTTATAATTCAGTTGTGTCAGTGTTCTCAGTGTCTCCATTAATGTTAGGTTTATTCCTGATATCAAAAACTATTATTTATGTTTCTCTCTCTGCCAGATTAAGCCTGTGCCATAACTCTATGTTTATCTCCTTTTTGTTTGAACTATAAAACAGCTTATATTCTGTAGCGCACATCTTAGTTTATTTGGTGATATTAAAGTTCTTAAGGGAAAAAAAATAGGCCAAAATGAAAGATAAAAAAAATAGAAAAAACAGAAAAAATAATACCATAAATATAATACTTAAAAAATAAGAGGATAAAAGAATAGGGAATTCAAAAGTGAAATCAGAAACATGAGGAAAATGCAGTAAAGTTTAAATGAGAGAAAGTGTAAAGGACTTCCATAGGAGATAAAATTGGTAAGAGGTTTTGGAATTCTTTCTAAAGAATTTCTGTTTTATTATAGAGACAAGAAAAATCTGTTAAAGAATTTTGATGATTGTCTAATAAATTAACTCTGGACTAAATGTGAATTGGAATGGGGGGAGCTTGGAAATGAAGCCAAATGATTATTTCAAGCCTAACAATAGATAATAATTGCAGGCTGTGGTAGTGTGAGCAGGAAAGGGGTGAATGAAGAACTGTAAAATCCCATCAAGCATCATATTAAGGTGATAAAGATGTGAGCTTGTGTGCTAGGAGGCCTGTGCTCAAATCCTGGTTTATCTACTATGTCTCTGAATGACCTTAGACAAGTTATGTAAGTGATTTGAGTCTTTTGACCACATCTGGAAAAGACAGGTGATAACAGCACAACTTTATAGAAGTTCTGTGAGGATTGGATATAACCAGGTATATAAATTTTCTATTAAATAATAATAGTTAATACATAGCCAATATTAAGGTACTGATAACAAAAATATTTTTCAGCAAGATGTGAAAAATAAAAATATGTTATTCCAGTGTCTTTATTCTAAGTAACTGGGGACATTGTGATGGCTTTAACTCTGATAATAATTAGAACAAACACTAGTATAACAATATTTTACATAGAGATCCCTTTTAGGAGCAGAAATAAATTCAGAAAAACTAAAGGATAATGATAACTCTAGAGATGAGAAGGTATTTTGGTGGCATCTTTGCAAGTTGCAATCTGCTAGGTGAGAGACTGAACAGTGACTTCTGGACATGAGTCGAGAGAGACTTTCAATTGTGTAGGGAGGAGAGAAAAGTCCTGTTTCAAGAAGTTTTGCAGTGAAGAGAAGTAGCAAATAAAAGGTATCCTAAAGGTGAGGCATAGTCATATTAACAATTTTGGATTAGGTGTAAGAGTTAATGGGCAAGTAAGATGTAAAGGAGAGAAGTGGAAATTAATCGCTAACATTCCAGGGGAGACAAGAAGGTATAGAGTTTACACTTGCCAATTTTTTTGGAGGAATACTGTTATTTGTTTTTTGCTGTTTTTTAATCACAGTAATTCATTGTGCTTAGAAATTCCACTTTTCTCTTTATTACTCTGAATTCTATTTCTTAGTCCTACACACTCAAGCAATACATTACTGTTTTTAGAGTCCTGTAAGAATTAGGTGATTCTAAATATTTTTTAAGAATAAAGAGAAGTCTAAGAGTGGAATAAACCATGAACATTCACTTCAGTTCTCTTCTGCTTAGATAAATATACTAATCATTAACAGTACAAAGGATAGGATTTTTATTGTGAGATAATTTCTGACATGACTGGTTGGAATGTTTCTTTTGAATCAAAGTGTGCAACTTAGACCTTAGATATGCATTGATATAAAATTATTTCATTTCATTGATAGACAAGGACAAGCTTGAATTTATATCTCCACATGAAATATGCCAAGGCTGGTGGTTAGCCCAAGGGTTCTCATCTGTAGCAAAAGACATTCTTATCATGGTTGTTAGTAAGAACTCAGGAATTTGCTATTCTTTAGCAAAAGAAATTTCTTGCTGATGTAATTAAGACATCTCTCTCCTGAATTTATGCTGCTGAGGGCATCCTTCACCACCAGAATTCTTTAAAACGAATTCTGACTCATTTCTGACTTTTCAAAAATTATTCAAAAAATTTTAGAAGAATTGTATTTATTCTGAGTTGAACATTCAGTTTAGGCTCATTGAAGGAGTTCTTCAAAATCTTACACACTCATTGTAGCAACCATGAGGAGCCAGCCACTATTGAAAGGTAAAATCCTTCATGTCCTAGATTATTCCTGGAATGCAACCATTAGATTTTTATATGTTTTTTTTTAAAATCATTTACCTATGTTTAAAGAAAAATGCCTTGTGTTCTTATAATAAGTCTCACTGAGATGGAAGTAGACATTTGGGTCCTAGCACAAATTTACTGTGTGGCCATGGGAATATCATTTTAAAATCTCTGGGCCTTAGCTTTCATGGTTTTAAAATGAGTTTATTCTATCAAAAGCTCTAAAAATCCTCACAACTCCAACAGTATGATTTAAGTCTTTATGTGAAAGAAACGCCCCGAAGCAGGTTTCATTGGTATTACAAAAAGGAGGGAAGGGAGTGGGCAAGGAAACACTGGATATGGGAAAGATAGGCAAAAGAACCAATAAATGGAGAGAAAAGGACACATGAACCCAGAAGGGTCAGGAGGAGGACTCGATAATTGTTGCCAGCATAATACTTACAACAACGGTTATTCTTGCTAACATTGTTTATATTAATTTCTCTAAGTATTTAAGTCAACCCTACAGAATCCTTTCATTTTCCCAGAAGGTAAACACAAAATGGAATTATGCAGAATGGATTCCTACTAATAGAACCATCTCATTGTCAATAAAATGTTACAATTTGGTTCATTCTTCTAAGATAGGTTTTATCTTTGTTTCCACCTACCTTCTTCATAACTGCAAGAGACAACAGCAATTTTCAGAGAATGAGGAGTACAGATTTTCTTCTATTTGCACTCCCTTGAAGCATAAAATTTTTAAGAGAATTATATGTATGTGAATTGTCTTTTTTAGTAAACCACTTGGCTGATTAAGAGCCCTTTATGAATGGACCAGATGTACCGGATGAGATCTGGGAATAGCTAGTCTGAGCTTTGAGTACTGAGACTAACTTTTATAGTTTCACAAGCATTCCCTTGGCCATTGGAGGAAACACACAGAATTTTCTTGAGTTAGAGAACATTGCCACAATTTTTTGGCCTATTTGGATATTTTTGCTATCTCACTAAGTCTAAAGGTACAGATACAGGTGACGGGGGATGGAGGCAGTAAACCACATTGCCATGTATGTATCTATTCAACAATCCTTCATGATCTGCACATGTACCCCAGAACCTAAAGTACAATATATGCATATATATATATGTGTATATATATATATATATGTTTACATATATATATGTATGTATACATATATGTTTATATATATGTTTATATATATCTCTCACAGAAAGGTAAAATTACAAAATTAAAATTCAGGTAGGTTAACAAGACAGTAATAATGCTTAGGTTTTATAAAAAGAGGAATGCTTTGAACTTTTATGACTAACTTGTGGAGAAAATACAGAAAAATTGCCTTGACCAATAAAAAGCATCTCACTTCTTGTAACGTATCACTTTATTTGGCACTTTAATTACCATACAGTAGTTAAAATAGAGCAGAGTGAGTCAGCACAATTAACGTTTCTTAAAACAGTCATAGAAATACATGCAAGTGATGCCTCAGTTGTATTCCTTGGCCACCAGGCTTATCAGGTTTTATCTGAAAGGTGTCAGTCATTTTCTTTGTCCTAAACACCTTAAGAAAAGGCACATTAAATGAGCTTTTAAGATCTCAATGAAGTCTCTCCTGTAGAAAATAAGTCTCTTCAAATACTTGTAGGTTGTAGATGCTTTTAAAGAGTGAATTGAGAAATGCTATGAAGATTCCAAGGGCAAAAGGATTGTGTTGTTAAAAAAGTGTAACATAGACAAATTTTGCATAATGCAGAGTACTAGAGTCTATTTCTAAAATAATATTGTACAGAACATATGGACAATCAAAATTAAAATACTTGAGTTGTAACCTGCTGTTGACCTTTCCATTTATCTAACTTATATTACAATTAAAAATTGTTTCTTCCTGGATTTTAGCATTTATTCATTTTTAGAAACCCATATTTTATCCACTGGATCTACATAATTTCCATAAGAAATACTAATTTGCAGTGATGCTTATTATCAGTATGAAGATACTGATAAATAACCCTAAGTCATATATATGTGCATGTACTTATACACTTATATACAGATATAAAATAACTATATGAAAAAGAGAGTCATTGCTAGTAATCATAATTTATACACATTAGATAGAAATATATAATACTTTATTTTTATGATTAACAAAAATTGCTGCAACTTTATCTGAAATAAAATTAAAATTAGATTTAATATATCTTTTCATAGATTCCTCAGTTTTTTAAGGCAATATTAAAAATGGGCACATTCCATAATGTTCATGGTGATCATAGGAGTCTCAATGATCCATGATATTTATCCTGTGTTCTCATCAACCAAATCTGTTACATCATCTCTCTAGAACTTAAAATCTGTCGACTCAGTCTTCTCATTGCAACCTTCATATCTTTGTTCCTTAAAGTATAGATGGCAGGATTTAAGACAGGGGTGACAACAAAGTTCACAATGGCAAAAAAATTATCCAATGACTTAGTAGGGAAAGGCCACACGTAGAGACATATGCATGGAGCAAAAAACAAAACCACTACAATGATGTGAGCTGACAAAGTGAAGAATGCTTTGGATAAATCTTTTGAAGAATATTGTCGGACAGTGACCAGAATAAAGAAGTATGATACAATTAAGAAAAAGAAGGTGCCCATAGTTAAGAATCCACTGTTGGCAGTGACCACAAATTCTAGTCTGTAAGTGTCCATGCATGCAAGTTTAATAACCCGAGGGAAATCACAATAAAAGCTCCCCACCTGATTAGGACCACAGAAGGGTAAATTTATGACAAAAACAAACTGAGTCACAGCATGAATCACCCCAATGACCCAAGCTGCTACTATTAAAAGCATGCACATTTTGGGATTCATAATAGTTAGATAGTGGAGAGGCTTGCAGACTGCAGTGTACCTATCAAATGCCATGACTATCAGCAGCACCATTTCAACTCCTCCCGTAACATGGATAAAGAACATTTGTATCATACAGTTATGGAAGAAAATAACTTTAGAATCAGTAAAAAGATCATAGATCAACCTAGGAACTGTGGTGGATGAAAGGCCCAAGTCCATGAGTGATAGGTTGGCCAGCAGAATATACATGGGGGAGTGTAAGTGAGGATCAAAGATCACTGTGAACACAATGAAGAGGTTTCCCAGGATAATTCCCACATAGAAGAACGAGGAGAAGAGAAAAAGGAAAAACTGCATTTCTAAGGATTGTGCAAATCCAAGTAATACAAATTCAGTTATCACAGAGTCATTTACTTGGTCCATTGAATCAGAAGGGAAGACTCTGAAGAGACCTGAAGGAAAAGAAGAAGGGAATCACTTAGTGAGCCAAGATCATGCCACTGCACCCCA